ATAAATCTGCAAAAGACTGTTATTTCCCCATAAATTATCTAAATAAATATTAGTAACAAACAAATACCTTTTACCTAAAAATTAAAATAAAGAGTAAATAAATAATAATTGATAATCTCCTGCTTGGGCTTATTTTTTTGTGTTTGCATTCATTCTCTTCATAGAAAAATTTTTTCCTCTTTATAATTATTGTGTATATAAATATAAATATATATTAATTAAAATTATTCAATTAACATAATAATACTAATAAAATAAATAAGCTTTCGAATAATTATCCAACAAGCAATGTTCGAGAACTAATCTACACTAATATGTAGATTAATTAATCTGATGGATACTAGTTATAATACTAGTTGTATTGTTGTAATTTGGCTGTATTTTATTTATACCACTATCGTCATCACTTCATTATTTATTATTATTATTCATTGTAACATGTTATAATATAAATAAAATAGTATTTAATTATAATAAATAAAACAATAATAAATAAACAAACATAACATACATACATACATACATACATACATATATTCACTCACTCTTACTACTCACACACATTTTATACACAAACAACAATAAAAAAAATTTCCAACACAACAACGCACATAAAACTCTCACACTGATACACTAAAAAAAAATTTAATAGCCTCACCCTTTTCTTTCTTCTCTTATTTCCTCTTCCTCTTCTCTCTTTCTTTCTTTCTTTATCATTCAAAATATTTTCTTCTTTTCAAAAAAAATTTATTATTACAATAATAATAATAAATAATGGTTTCAAACAATCAACAGAAAATAAGGATATCACAGGTGGAAATGATTCATGCATACTTTTGCATATTTCAGTCAAAAGTGAATGATAATATATATATTTAAACTTTGGTTGTGGTAACCTAAAAATTTCAGAAAATATATTCTAAAAAATTACAAACAAATATAATTTTATTACCTTGAGTAAAATTTATTAATTAATTATGAAATATTATCCTTGAAAACACTCACCTCAACAATCATTTGTTCTAGTTGGAAGCACTTTATATTTTTGTTTAAATTAGAAACATTAGCAGTTGTGTCATTTTCCAAAATTTTTTGAGCAGTATCTTCTGTCCCTATTTTAATTTCAGTGCTATCTTCTGAATTTTTTGTGTGAGTAGTATCTTTATTAATAAATGTACCAGGTGCAAAGCTATATGCAATATCTTTTAGATATTTGGTGCATTCTTTACGATTTATTTCAAAAATATCTATGATATCGCCAATAAGATCACAAATTAGAAAGTATGAAATATCTGTGATTTCAAGATGTTCATTCTTCGTCTGTTATAAAGATTTTTAAATACAGTAAATTAGATTTTTAGATTTTGCATGATACAATTAAATTATTCCTATTTAACAACAATACCTCATCATCCAATTCATCAAAAATTCTAAATAAAGGAACAACTAAAGTAGTGTATGCAGATTGCGGGAGTTCACAAACTATAAACTTATCAACTTCATGCTTATAAATATAAATTAAAAATTTTAAAAATTTTTATATCTAAATTATAAAAATGAATAATGATAATCAATAAATTCAAATATGTACTTGATCTGCTGTGACCAGAACGTGATCATAATCTGAATATGGTTTCAAAAGGATTGGGCACTAATAATATAAAATAAATTGATTAAATGGTTATTCTCAATTAAATAACTAAATAATAATAAGCACTCACTTTCCAATTGTTATTTTTGAATTTTTGAATTTGAGTCCAAAGTAATTCTAAGGTCTTTGATTTAAAAATGTTTTTTTTTAGTAAAATAAGTATATAAATGAATGTGTGCCCAAATTCAATTGTTTGTAAAAAAGGAAAAAAAAAGATTTTGACTTAATAGATTAATAATTAAGATCAATTTCTGATATTATGTTAAAAAGTTTATAAAATGGATCACAAAAAAAAAAAGTGTGTGTATGTGTGTGTATGTGTATGTGTATGTGTATGATCTTGGAATGATATGTATAATACCAGCAAGGATTACTAACAAATTATTGAAATGAAAAATAATTAAAAATAAATATACTGACATCAACTTGTTCATAAGGGATATTGGAGCCAACATATGGTCTAACAGAATTTAGAACCAATAAACCATCAATTTCTTTGATTGCTCGATCCCTTGCATAAAAGTATCTTTCAATTTTAGATAAAATGCCCTCCAGTATATCTGGACTTCGATCATGTAGTCGAGTGGCTACCTGAATGATGCAATTACACAAGAAAGTTAATTTTAATTATAAACCTTCTAATATGATTAAATTTCTGCTTTATTATGAAATAACTTACATAAGGTAATGTTGAAAGAACAATTTGTACTATTGCATCCGCATGATACTAAATTAAGATAAATTAATTAAAGGTTCATTCAAATAACAAACAAAATAATGAAATTCTGATAATACCATTTTAACATTAGGTTCATCTAAAGTTGTCAATAAATCATCATAAATATCTAACATTGTTCTGGGCAAGATTACATTTGAATTTGTCAATTCTGCAAAAAATTTAAGCTATATATGTGTGGGTGGGTGTTTTATCAATATAAACATCAAGCTTTTGAAAATATTGTTCAATCAAAATATCATTACATACAGATAATTTTGCACCACGCCAATTGCCTTCATTTAAGCATTGTTGCAAACTTTGAGAAGTCATTTTTACTATAGCTGCACCTATATCTGATCTAGCTACATTCAAAAGACCAATAAGAGTTCCATAAACAAATGTTTTCGTTGGTAATTCCATAAAACTATTATTTGAATTGTTAATTATTAAAAATTATTCTTTTTAAAAAATAAATAAATAATATATAATATGAATCAAATAATTTATTTTACTAACCAATTTTTTATTGCTTTCAATATATTAATTTCATATTTTGCATATTCAGTTTGAATTAGGTTTGAAACTATTCCAATATTTGAATGAATTTCTTGAGGTGACATCTAATAATAATTTTTTTAGTCTTATATTATAACCAAGCTTATTCATTATAATATATTTATCCATTTCACCTTGTCTCCTAAAATTATTAGAAGTTTTGTTAATCTTTTATCGGGAGTGTCCTTCTCATAATAGTTAATTTTATTAATTAATTTAGGCATTTTTTAAAGTAAATGTGATAGCGAAGAGTAAAAAGATCAAAATAAATTCCCTTGATTGGCCAATTGTTGATCATTACAATTATTGTAGATCTTTATAATATGTTAAATATACAAAAACGGGTTTCTTTGTATAGTCTAGAGACCTCCTGAAATTTTAATAGTTTATATAGAACTCAAGAACTACTTTATATTTTAAAAATTTGACTTGGTAATATAATATGTTTCTCTAGCTTTAATGTAACTGAGAACTTTCTCAAAAAATTTATTTGTCTATTCCTTTTAGTACTCTTAGTACTGTGAGCATGCAATCTGAGTTTGATTAATTAACATGATTCACTTACAAAGGTAACCCACTAGCTCTTCTAGTGACTCTAATTATGCTGGTCCAGATCCTTGGTACCAAGATAATTGGAGATTTCTACACTATATTATTACTGGCACACAGCCTAATATAATGACCTGTTATATTGTTACAGGCACACAGCCACAATATAATCCAAGGCTTTTCCACTAACATATGTTATTACTAGCACACAGTCTAATATATATTCCTCAAACTTAGCACACAGCTAGCTATCAATCACTGAACAATTACAAAACTATGCTACTCAAGGAATCCCTACAAGCAACACAGTACAATCAAAAGAGTTCTTAACTAATCATTAAAAATTAGTCAGTCCCCTAACCATCAGAAGGATCATAGAACAATTCATGAGGACTCTTCCTCTTTAACTATGCAAAAATTTGTAATAAGGTAAAATGTGTTTATTTAATCAAAGGTTATTATTAATATCAGTATTATTATTATTAATTGTTAATTCAAAGATTTAATTAGCAATTTGTGAGGGAAATGAAAAATCTACAGGTGCTACAAAGCAAAGTTTTTTATTTTCTGATTAAAAATCAAAAAAATGTATCAATATATTCTTTGATGTTTATTCCATCTTATAAAATAAAGAAATATAAATTTGGGGCACAAAAGCATAGTGCTATTTTCTTGTAGAAGATCATAAAGTAAAAATTTTTAATAGTAAAATCAGCACTTCTAGATTTTTTTGCCAATCATTTGATAAATCTCCCTTGTTTTTACTATCATCAATTAAATATTTCTTGGATTATTACAGATAATGTGATTTGTGCTATTCTACTATCCAATAAAATATGCTTATTAATTATAAATTGTGACAAATACATTGTAACATCTATCTAGATAAACATGAGCAATACACTCACTTACCATAAATATCCAACCACTTATGTTGTATAATGTCAAATGAAAAGAGTCCTTACTAAAAAAGTAATGTTTCTTAAATAAAACCTTTTTTACTTTACTAAGTAGACTTGTACTTGATATCAAAATCTCTAAATTACCAAAGCTTTGAAAGGTTTGGTATGGTATTAATGGAAACATTTAGCAAATATTCCAAAAAGCAAATTTTCAATTGGAATCTTTACATGCAATAAAAGGTCAAATTTCTTCATTGTAATGTATATTATTTCATTAATAAAAACATGCTTAACATAATGGATTACATATATTTACAATATGGTGTCAGCATAAATTAGTTTGTGAAAAGGGTTTAAAAAAGTATCAAACCACCTTGTAATTTTATACAAAACACTTAATAAGTTGACAGAATGCAAATTTTAGAGTTTTACGTTTCATTGTCTATACTTGATCAATTTTTCTCAAATTTTAACCATATATAATTCAAGTTGTTTTAAGTGGACTTGCTTAATGACATAATCCATGATTCATGAGTGATGAACTTAATATACAACTTGGTGACAAAGTTACCATCCTTGCAGAATATGATGATGGTTGGGTACTAGGTGTTAATGAGACGCGTGGTGGTATTAAGGGCGTATTCCCTAAAAATTGCGTAAATCTGAATAATGCCTTTAATTACAAAAGAACCAGCTCAATTAATTAACAAAAAATAAAAAAATAATAAAAACAACATGTCAAGGGTCAGGAGTTGTGTTTCAAAAGAATACTTTTTTATTTTATTTTATTTAACCATTAATATGCTTATGTGTTTTTCTTTATTTATGATTTTTTTTTCCTTTGAGAAATTTTCATTGTATTAACTTTTTTATTGTCATTCACAAAAAAAAAAAAAAAAAAAAAAAAAAACCAATTAAAAATAATATACACCCTCTTAAATTTAGGAGTTACTTTCTATAATAGTCTCTACTACTACTACATTAACTAATTTTTAAATAAAATCGTAGGAATGAAAGATAAAAAATAGATAAAGTAATCAAAACTATAAAAGAATAAATAAATTGCTTAAATTAATAATAAATACCAACATTTTCTTTTTTCTTATTGCCATAAATAAAATGCACGAAAGCGAAACAAACGAACGAGACAAATATATTTTGGAAACTAATTCGTAAACTAATAATTCCAACAGCATCTTTGACAAATATAGAAGACAAAATTTTTTTTAATCAATCCAGTTGGCGGAATCTTGGAAATTGTCCATGGTAAAAAATGCAGCTTTTAAAAATATGAATATTTTGACACCAAGATATTATAGATCCATCCATCGATTAGAACTTGAGATGAAAAGCCGTGTGTGTAACAGGGCAACATTTTGGTCATTTATACTCTGACACGGGTAAAAAAAAGTAACAAATAAAATTAATTATAAATAACGGGAACCATCATCTATTCTGACAAAATTTCATGCCCGTAGCTTTTAAAGTGAACCAAGAATGACAGAATAAAATTTCTAGCATAGAGCATATGACCTTAATTACAATAGTCCGTATGGTCTAACCAATTTTATGACCCTAAACCTTTTGGCTTCCCGAAACAGTTTCGGTAAACTGTCTAGTTTACAAAACCTAAACCTTACCCAAACTTAAATCCATATCCAAACCCTAACTACCCTAATTACGCTTATTATTTGTTATATTTCTATTTGTGTTCAGGGCAATGAAAGTAATAATGAATCCATTGATACAGAATCAGATATTGATCCTGACGATTATGAATATTATGATAACCATAATAGAGATATTGATTTTCTAATAGAAGACTACATAGATTTAAATAATTCTTTATTTAATTATGAAGGTAGTGACAAAAATAAAATTGATATAAGTGTAGAGAATTTACATCATAATGAAAATTATGAATATAACCCCAATGATTTGGTTTCCAATGTTTTTGCTATGATGTGTGAAAATAATATTAATACTGCAAAAAAAAAAAAAAATAATTAATTATGAATGTGATACTGATGAGGAATATTTGGATTATAATTTAGGTTTTGATAATAAGACAGAAATTGCAACGAAAATAATAATGATGAAATTCAAAGTTCTGAAAAATTAGTAATATTAATAGTAAGTAATGATGAAAGTTCAGATGATGATGATGATGATGATATTGAAATAAATGAAGATAAAAAAAGAAGAAAATACACCAAAGAAAAAATTTACATTAAGGAAAAGGATTAAAAAAAACTATAAAAATAAAATAATAGCAATTGGTAATATAAAAATAGTTCAGAAAATAAAAATAATTTGTGATTTAGGGTTTAAGTTTGGTGTTTCAGTATAAAATTAGTTTCAGTATGGGTTTTGGTAAGGGTTTAGGTTTCGGGTAAGGGTTTAGGTTTCGGTAAGGTTTAGGATTTTAAAAAACTCCTAAACTAATTTAGGGAGGTTTCGGTTTCGAGTTTTCCCTAAACTCAGAGTTTAGGGTCACAACATTGATTGGAATATATTTGAATTTGAAAGATGAGAGACGCTTTATCGTACATATGATTAGTAACATTAAGGACGTATTGAAAAGAAAAACTGGTGTCAGTGATAAACTATTTCACCATGTTCTCGCAATTAAAGCCACACTGGGAGGAATAAATCCTTCTTACTTGACGAGTTGACCACTTTTATAATAATTACGTTAATGATGTTGTAATTCAATTGGAAATTCAACATACAATTATGATTAAAATCTTCAAAAAGGATTAGTAATGCGCATCTTGTGAAGTTATTTTTCCAATGATAAAAATTAAGCTGGCAGGTATTTTGCAAGAAATATTCAAATCATTGAAAATTTTCCGAGTAACAATACAAATCAACAATAAATCAATAAATTATTAGGTCATCTCTACGGTCCCTACCAAGGATTGTTGGATTATAGTGATGCTAAAGGAGGTTTGATTTTGTTCTGACTATTCTTGATGCGGTTCATGTGCAAGAAATTCAATCATTCTTCTCAGGCAGAGAAATTAATTGAATGTCATTAAAAGGTTTGGGAATCGGTAGAATTATTTCATAAAGTCATAAAAGATTTAGATGAACAGAGATCATTATCGCCAAAAAAAAATTATTGTGGTCTTTAAATTAGCCTTTTTTGTTCAAACAATTACGAAGAATAAAGTTAAGTATTTTTTTATCTAAAAGTGATTTACGAGTCATTAAATAAACAAATTATGATTTGACCAACGTGGAACATCTAATCTACTCGAACAATTCAGAGTCTTCTATATGAATATTGGATTAAGTCTATTTGTCACTTTTCTAAACCAAAGAATTTCAGGTTAGAACATGAATGAGCCTCGAGTTATATAATGCGCATGCAATATCAACAATATGTGTATACTTTACTTTTTTTCGTTACTTTGCCTTATGTTTGGTAGTTTCGCCTGAAAATGAGTGAATTGGTCAAACACAAGACAGAGTTGTAAACTTTATCAAGTAATTGATTGTGATGCAAATAAAGATTTCAATGTTTGTCTTTACAATATAGCAACATATTTTTATATCGAGATAGTCCATACACACATCTTTACTTTCTTTTCCTACTTCTTTTTCTCAAAAGAAAATGCCTATACAAGTGTCTGTTTATTCTCAGAAAGAAGAAGGCTTCTCTTGTATAGAAAAATTTGTATTTTTATTGCGTTATCTTGATCGGAATCAATCCCATTAGCAATAAGAATTTGAACCCTTGAGAAATATCAAAAGATAAAAAATGCAAATAGTAAAAGCAACATGAGTTACTATTTTTTAGTTCTATTCAAATCTAATTAGTGAAATTTTAAACGCAAATTTGTTGGCTTATCTTTCCAGGCAAGTATATCCATCTTGTTGTGTAATGTCGAGGTAACTACAATGTTGATATGAAGGCAAAAATAGTTTAGATCAATGATCGAAAAATAAACTAATTTATATATATACTCTATTTTTGCTAGATTAGCTAGGTTTTTATATCACAATTGATGCAATTATTCGGTGCAGTTACAAACTTTTAAATCGCCTAGTTGAAAATCTTTGTTATAATGCTAGCAATAATACAATCTGAATTGCAACTCTGGTCGAGCCTTGCACACTTTCCAAAGTTCGTGTGCTGACCTAAATATGTCTGTTTGATCATTAAAAAAAAAAGAAAATTCACTAATTATTGTTATTATTTGAATATTAAAAGGATTCTTTATTACGAGATAAATTCATTTCGGGTTCAAATGATGACGTTGAATAAACAAAAGAGTTAAATTAAAAAAATTAAAAGCTGAATCAAAATCACTAATAATAATTAAAGGTTCCCGAGAGTCACTGGTAAAATTTTATAGAAAAACATACTTATATCATCTTGACTACCGTAATTTCCCAGATAAACCTCATGATAATTGGTTCGTTTATTGATTGTATTCTTTGATCGCCTCTCCAGTTTATCATCAAGGGTGGTTTTCATCTTCAATTTATGTTTAAAAAATGCGATAAAAGCTAATAAAATAAATTTTTGATATTTTTTGTCCCACAAAGTGATGTAATCTAGGTTCTATATAGCAATCCAGCTATAACCCAAATCTATAATTCAAGCTGTTTTTTTGGTCAATGGTATTGCTGTTAAACACTAACTGACCTTTGCAGGTGAAGAGAGAATACAACAAGCTCTCTAACGAAACCATAACCAGAAAGAGTTTACTTGACAATACAAGTCCCATGATAATTCACCTACGAAATATGTATCGCTCATGAAACTTAATCACAAGGTCTGAAATGTATCAGATTTTCCGAAACATCTTTCCGATATTCCGAAACCAAATATTTAGTCGTGTGACATGTCCTAACAATTTTTTTATTAATAAAATTTCGAATTGCGTAATCAAACATTAATATTAATATTAATATCAAATGTTGCAATGTTACAACATACCCGTAACTTGCAACATAAACACGAAGCAGTTAGATCACTTTTAAAAACATCATTATTTTTGTAAACATAAACACAAAATTTGAATTCGTTTATCTATTCATCGTCTAATTGCGGTAAATAAGCATGTGGATCTCCATTTTCGTTTATGTCGCTTTTCTTGAAGGTGGTTGGTATCAATGTCTTAGCAATTGCCACCAATTCTTTGTTTGCTTTAAAAATTTCTTTGAAGCAAGTTGTTGATAAAACCGAAAATAATCTCAGCCTTAAAGTCAAATTTTGACTTTATATTCATATATGTAAAAATTTGTTAGTGCATGCAAAGGTAAATTAAATGTTACAAATATTTACAAAATCATGCTCACTTTGTATGTCTTTATACTATCATTTATAAAGTATGGTTTATACTAATATATTAAATTTTAATTATGACCAATCATTTTATAGGAAAACAATATTGGATGTAAGGAGTTAGTTAGAGTTGATGGAATTAAACCAGATACAAGAATTACAGGTGGAGAGCATTGTTGATATTTGATTAATAGAATTTATTAAAACTTGTAAATATGAGTTTATTTAATAGATTTGATGATAATAATAATCGAAATGTCAAAGACTAACTAATCTCAATTCATGAATCCCTGGAAGAAAGTATTGGATCAATACTATATACAGTCAAATCTTGTTCCAATGAATCTATGAGGACACAAGAAAATTGCATCTAAAATTCATTATACCAAATTACAGTAACGCGATTGCAACAAATTTAATTATAATTCATGATGACGACTTAATTATATTTCGTGGTAATAGTAATGCAATTCCAACAATTTAATTATAAATCATTGTATGTTTGCTAGCTTAGATTCTCATTGGCTGTGTATGTAAAATTTTAATTATTAAAAAATAAATACTATTATCTTCATTTTCACTAATAAATTTAAATAGATATTATATTTTTTTTTACATGAGAAACAAAAATTAATGAATAAAACAATCATTAATAAACAAATACCTTTTAATTTATGATAACTAATTTGATTGTTCCATAACAATCCTTTCTGATCATATTAAAAGTAATTAATGATTAATTACAGGAATAAAACTTTATGATGTTGAATTTTCTATCTATTTCTAAAAATAAATAAATATGGCTGCGTAACAATTCTTTCTGATTGTACACCGCCAGATCTAAAAAGAATAATTAATAATTAATAGTATAAATGCTTCATTCACCCATTGTCTCTGATTTTTACCTTCCTAATCTTGCGGGATATCAAGGTCTTATTTTTGAATGAACCAATATACTTTGACTGGTTATTTGGAACATTGTCAGTACCTCTAATTCCTTAATTTATCCTGTAGTAAAAACATTGCTTCGAAAATAGGAATAATAACAAAAAAGTAAATCCAAATTCAAATTTAATAACTAACAAAATACTGCTTATATAACACACATTTTTCAGATTGAGAAACGATTTTGATCTCGTGGATCTCTCGCGCTGAATCCAGTAAAGGCATTAAATGTGACAAGTTTTTATTTTTCCTCAAATAAGTTAGTTGATCTTTAAATACCCAAGTAGTGGATCATATCTACAAAATCAGACAAATCAATATTTATGGATGTTAATAGATATAGAAACAATACAACCAATGAGTTATTTAAAGGTCATTGGATCCAAAGATATCTAATTAATGGTGAAAGTTAAAAATAATACAGGCTTGTCAAAAATAGTATGTGACATCTGATAAAGTTTTCAAAGAAATAGACATGTAATGGACTTGTGATGAATGTATATATGTATTGTTGCTTTTTACCAATGCAACATTTATTTATTTACATAAAAACCAAAAAAAAATTCTTTTTGTTCACGATATAACGTTTTCTTCAATTTAAAACTTTTAACTTTTTTTTTTAATTTAATATTTTACTTTCTAATTAATTATCATTTATTTTCTATAACGAAATTATGAAAAACTTGATTTCCTTCCCATCTTGCGTTATCCTGTTTTTTTTTTCATCAAAGATTTTGTTATCTTTTCAGTGTTCATTCTTTCTTTATTTCCAGTCCTTAATTAAAATTTTTTTTGAAAGACTCGTAGGGAATGATGATCTTGGGGGTATAATAACCTTTCTTGGACTATTGTTATTTATCCTTTACTGCTGTTACTAGTTGTCTCAAGGGTATAGTTTTACATCATTTGCTTTTTATCTCTGAAACCTGTGTCTAGGCTTCTTTAGTCATGTGTAGTTGATTATATAATGTATGATAATAATATATGGTTCCAATAATAATTACATTTCATTTCATTGATTTCCACTTGGACTTTGAAACATGTTTTGTTTGGATATTATCTCTTAAAACTATTACATACTGGTATTGATGTTGCATGCACAAGCTATACAAAAAACTTTAGTTTATCAAAAGGGTATTGGGTCTCATAGGTTTCAGATTTAATAAAAAATTTCCTTTCACAAACAAGCAAGCGTCTTGCAATTGCACGCCTCATATCTATAAAGAATTTTCTACAGGCGAGGCCAATTAAACAAGTTGGAGGTCGTTGAGGCTTTAATACTCTTTTTGACAACAATGCAATTCAATAAACTTTAGTGCCTGAAAATTTTAATTGATCACTATCATCAGGAAAACATTGGTCTGATTTGCACAAGGAAGGTGAGATATTTTAAATATTGAGCTTTGAGGATACACTTTAACGTCTGCAAATAAATTTCCAGATTGTCTAAAAGCAGTTTTCCATATGTATGTGTGATCTTCAATAACCTTTGACACTTTTTATAATTATACAAAAAAATTATGCTTCACTCCACGTTTTGGTTTCTGTTCCCTATATATAGGGTATTCAGGCTATTTTATATAAATAAAAATAAGTTTATTAATACAAAAAAAATCACTAGCTATCAAGAACTAATAATAAGTGGACCAAAAAAAAAAAAAAAATGATGTGAGCCACATCAAAAAAGTAAAGGTTTTGTTTGCCAAGATCCTTCTCATTCAATAATTAATTGAAAAAAAGTAATTGTTTGCTAATATTTCCTTCATTAATTGATTAAAAAGGAAAATATAACGATTTATCTTGGTATAATAGATAATAATGCATTTTTTGTCTTTGTGACAAAAAAAAAGGATACATATTAATTTTTTCTTATTCTTGTAAATAATTATTAAATTCGTGTTGGTTTCAACACAGAAGAAGATAGCAGAGAAAATCAAGCACAAGTTAAAAGACTAGCAAGAGAAAAAATGGAAGGTTATCGAAAGCAGAAAGGTTTTACAACCTTGAAAAAAAATTGAACATTTGCAATTTAACATCTCTCGAAAATAGAAATTCCTTCCCTGAAATCAAGTTCAACAAAGTTTATTTTTAACATCTCCTCAACATCAACATCAATATGCCATGTTGGCTTCCCTTCCCGCATGATCAGTAGAGAATATTTATCACAACTTTGTGAAACTACAAATTTCTTTTTAATTACCAAAAAGACATTAAAAAACAAAAAATCAACAATCCTGAAATAGAGATTAAATGTCGCACTGGATTGATTTTGTTGTCTTTCTCACACGTCAAAAAAAACCAATTTTTCGAAACTACTCACGATTGTTGATCAACTGAATTATGCTAATCTCCCGACAGTCTGTGCGACAAATAATGCTCACTTAAAAGTTGTTACAAATTATTTTACCAGTTAGGAGATTAATATCTTTTAGTCTATGGAATGGAAAATTTTAATATTAATAAAGGGATCATCTCCTCAGGTATAGGTGCGGGTGCGAGTTTGGGACTTTACGGAGCCTTCGCGTGTGCTCTCGCTGGAGGTTGCATTGCTCCTTGGTTAGACGAAGAAAACAAGATATATGATCTTAACTGGTGTAATAATGTGAATTTAGCTGGTAATGCGATTAATTTTGGTGCAAATGCTATTGAAGCAGGATTTATTTGGAACAATCATACTAGGATATCTAAACTGGAAGAGGAATTAATGAATAGGCATTATTGCGGAATTAATAGGGATGAAAACAGTAAAGAATTTGTAGACAATATGGTAAATCTAGGAATTTTGAAAGGGAGAGTTAATGCTCTTGAAAAAGAAAAAGAAGATACAAAAACCTTGAAAGTGAGGGTTGATGTTCTTGAAAAAGAAAATAATAAATTAAAAGAATATATTCCTACCACGAATAAAAGAATGTCTAATTTAGAGGAGGAACTAAGGTTACAGGATTAAGAGGGCTTCCCTTAGAAGGAGAGATGTATGTTATTTCTTTTCCCGAGGAAACAAATTGTTTTGCAAAGAAGAAAAATATAATATTTATTCATTGTATGTTTCATCTTTTTATTTTATAATTAAAGAAAGATATTTTGAATCGGAGATTTTTTTTTTCTTTGTTAAAGTCGAATTTGTGATTGTTGATTTTTCTTTTAATTCTCTTATTTTGTATAATGAATGATGCTGGCGAAAATACCATTTGTGGTATAACATCACTCCGATGAGAACTCTTTATTAATAGAATATTGATTGATGTTATATTATTTTCAACATCCAACCTGACATATAAAATATACCTGAGAAATTTCTTCAGAGTATATACTAACTCTATTCTACCATATTGAAATATCAAATATAAACTGGTTCTTTTAAACTTAGAATTATTCCCACAGTTCTAATCACCCATTGAGGGTTACTATTTGAGGTATAACTACTACCATCTTAAACACTCCGCTAGTGATCTCCCATTCCTCTGGGTGAGTTGGTATTTAAAATTAGCTTGATTCTTGAAAATAACTTTAGCTTGAAGAGAAAAAGATAGGTTCAATGATACATATTTCTCTTTCCAGATTCCCGAGAAGATCAGCACTAAGAAACGTGGGAGAATTGAGCCCAGCGATGTTCATTGCAAAATAGCGAGCTGCGTTCATGTCATTTACCAAACTATTAAAAAAAACGAGTTCTTCATATAGATGTATAGCTTGGAAAAATTTCCTTGATTATTATATTGCGGTTAGGGCTTAAATTATGTGCAAAACAAATGTCTAATATGAATATCTTTTAAAAAATACAATTTTGTATTGCGTTACTAATTTTCTCCAAATCAATAAAATCAAAGTTCTCTGTACAGAGCTTTATATTTTGTAAAATCACTACACTTCCAAATCCAAACTTAAAATCATTGAAATCATTTTGATTTTTGAAATACGAGTCCAAATTTAGAAATAATCAACAATAGTTCATTTGCCAAATTCTTCTTGAACCATAGTAAAACTCGACTAAAAAAGAATATATATTAATATTAATATAGTGCAAGTCACTTAGTCCCACAATTTTCTGTGCCACGCCGCCAATTTTGAGAAATCAAAAATGCAATAAAAATTTTATAGTCACATGATTTTTGAAAATTGTCAAGTGCTAAATAAATATATTAAAAATTTTCTTTTATATTTATTCCTATATATACATATGTAAATGATGATTTGAACAATAAACAACAACAATAATGATTATAGTGATGTTATTAAATATTAATTAAATAAAAAAGAAATTTATATAACTATTGAATGATTGATAAAATCTTTGTTAGTATATTTTGTTCATAGATCTTGCTTGTCCTTAAAGCTTACTCCTACACAAACTATTAAATAATTGATAAATGTTCATTAGAATATTTTGCAATAATCTATTTATTAGATTTAAAATAAATGAACTTAGCTGTTCTTTTTATTTTTTTTAATAATTCTCTTCCCGTTCATCTGGAAAATTCATGTGACAAAAGATCTGCAATATAAGGGAAATTTTTCAATTTTTTATTTTGTTTCAATTCATCTATTTTTGATATTAACTTTTTTGTGTGTATAACACGTCATTTTAGGGTTAAACATAGTAATAGTAGGGGTGTTCAAAGTTGTTCCGTTCCTGTTTCCTGTTGTTTCCACTTCCAAATTTGGAAACGATTTAAAAAAAAAAAATAAAAAAAAAAAATAAAAGAAAACGAGAATACCATAAAATAGCTTCTACTAATAATAATATACAACAGCCTCGTCCAGTTCAAAGAGTAGCTTCTACTAATGACATGCAACAACAACAACAAAGCATTTATCCGGTTCAAGTAACCATATGCACTGATTTTGTTTGAACCCCAAAATCCAGTACGGTATGATCATAGCGTTATGAATACTTTATACTAGCAAAAACCCATTGGTTTTGAGGTGGGGCCATTGGTTTGACGGGTTGATGAATAGCAAAATAGTTTTTTTTAGCGGAGCAAATAAATTTTTTTAGGGTAATTAACATTCTACCAACCAGTTTACACATTAAAAATACTCGTGTTTAACATCAAGACACAATAAGACATAAGGTTTGAAAAAAGACCCAGAAAACCAAATCGGCTGATATGCTTCTACTAATAATAATGATGTGCAACAACAAAACATTTATCCAGTTCAAAAAGTAGCATCTGTTAATAATGACAAACAACAACAACAACAAAGCATTAATCCAGTTCAAAAGGAAACTTCTTCTACTAAGAATAATGACGTGCAACAACAACAAAGCATTTATCCATTTCAAAAGGCAACTTCTACCACTAATAACAATGAACAACAACAACAAACTGTTTATCTGGTTCGAAAAACAGCTTCTACTAATAATTTACATCAATATCAATATCAACATCAACAATGTCATCAAAATATTTATCCTTCATCTAATACTGATAAACATCAATATTACCATCAAAAAAATATTTATTCAGCTCCAGAAGTGATTTTCACAAATGCTGATGAACATTATCATCAGCAAGAAGAACAAAATATTTACCAAATTCCAAAGGTTGTTTTCCCTAATACTAACAAATATCATCATCAACAACAAAGTAGTTATTCAGCTCCAATTGTTATTCCTAGTACTGATGAACAACAAAATATTTATCCTGCACCCTTTCTTCAATTAAATCAATTTCCAAATCAACACCAGCAACAGCATGTTTTTGAACATAAAAATATTTGTTTAAAAAATAAAGAAAATAAAGATAGTCAATGGAGTGACAGAGAAGTAGAAATTTTAATTGCCTATCTGGATGAAAATTATAAGAATTGGTCCTCTGGTAATAAAAACAAATTTTATCAAGCTTTGATTGATAAAAATTTATTGGCTGGTAAAAATAATGAGCAAATAAAAAATAAGTTGAATAAATTACGTAATTCATATTTAAAAGAAAAAAAATCAACTAATAAGACTGGATCAGCACCAACTAAATGGAAATGGTTTGACAAATTAGACAAAATATTTGGTACAAGAGAGAATGTAAGTCCTACATATTTGGCATTGTCCACTAATGATACATATACAGATAATGAAGAAGTTGAGGAAATAATCCCTTCCAAAAAAAAAAGATGAATTGAAAAATAAAAAAAGAAAAAATAATAATTATGAAGCTCTTTCAGATTTAATGGTTTCGATGAATCAATCTAAAGATAACTTCCTTGTTAAAAAAATTGAATTGCAAGAGAAGGAAATTGATTCCAAAATACAATTGGAAAAGTACAAAATTGATAAAGAGATGGAATTAAGAAAATTAGAATTAGAAATTCAAAGAGAAAAATTGGAGGTGGAAAGATTAAATCCTGAAAATTTAAAAAAAAAAATTAGAATTAGAATCAAAAAAATTATTACTTTAAATTTTTATTAGATTTATATATACAGTGTGTAACAAAAAAAACCAGATATTTTTTTATGCAATTTAAACGCGTCTCACGTGTTTGTTTTCTGTCCAATTTGAGAGATATAAAATGGAAAATAAACATGATAATCAGGAGTAAATTTGAGCGTTGTTTATAACCCTGAACCTTAGTGTACTTTTTGCTTTATGTACAAACACAATGCCCGCTTCTAAACAAGAAACACAACGTCAATGCATATTACAATTGTGGAATGAAGGCATTCACAATGGCCAAGAAATTCATCACCGAACAAACATCCCATTGTCTACTATTTATGATAACATTAAAAAAATAAAAGAAAAAGGGACGGTGGAGCACATACGAGGAAATGGTCAGCCCAGGAAAATAACTGGGAATACCTCCAAGATGATTGGACAATCAATACGGAGAAATGACTCAATTTCCACATGGACCTTAGCTCGAAAAGTGTCGAATACAGGTGTTGACGTGTCACATATGACAATTTCGAGGCACTTGACCACTTATGGGTACTCGAAAGCATTGCCTAAACAAACACCTATGTTAACCGAAGCCCATAAGCAAAGGTGTGTTGAGTGGGCATGTCAGCACCTTAATGACAATTGGAGGAAGACATTATTTTCTGATGAAACCGCGTTTCAACTTTACCGAAACACCATCGAACGTTGGTACAAAGGTGAGTGGCCAATTTGTCCCATGCCCAAAGATCGCACAAAAGTTTTTGCATGGGGCGGATTTTGCGTAGTCGGAAAAACAAGTTTATTTTGCTTCAGGAGGATAATGGATGCCAAATTTTATGTAGAAATCCTCCAGAAACATATGCCGGAAGTAAATAGGATGCTTGGAGGTAGATGGAGACTCCAGCAAGACAATGATCCAAAACACACGAGTCGTCTTGCTACGGAGTTTCTGAAAGAAAACATTCCGGCGGTTATGGACTGGCCATCAAATAGTCCCGATTTAAATCCAATTGAAAACCTTTGGGGAATTGTTAAGAATAATGTAGAGAGGCGTATGCCAAAAAATCTTGGTGAACTAGAGAGATTTATGATGGAGGAGTGGAATAGAACTCCGGAAAGCATGTTAATTAATTTAATAGAATCAATGAGATGACGTTGTGAGCTCATTATTGAGAGAAATGGAGAACGGATTTCTTATTAATTATTATCAATAAATTTGGTTGTTTTTATCTTACAAATGACCCATTTTTTATAAAAATTGACTGACTCATTGAGGAGCAATGGCAAAATAAAAATATCCAGTTTTTTTTGTTACACACTGTATATATATATATATATATATATATATAGTATAATTCATTAAATTCTTAGAAAATTAATTAATTGATTTCTTTTTTCTTCTCCTGCTCTTTTCAACCCCAATTCACTTTCACATTCCATGACCAAGTTTGCATCATTGTCATTATAATCATTCACATCTGCTCCTTCATCCCAAATTTCCCCATTTAACTCTAAAAAATTATGCAAGATTATAGCACATTCTGTCAATCTAACAGCCATTTTGATACTTTTAACATTTAATTCTCTTAGTGCAACAAATCTAGATTTAAGTCTGCCAAATGCATGCTCTACAACTATTCTATGTTTAGAGTGAAGTTGATTAAATTGAATTTGTGTAGAGGTTTGAGAAACTTTAAAAGGTGTAAATCATAAAAGGGGAAATTGGGTATGCAGAATCTCCTAAAACAATATCATCATCTTTAATAAAGTCTCTCCTATTTATATAGAACTCAGAATTGGAATACACCCTAGCATCATGAACACTGCCTGGCCAGCCAATTAAATAATTGGTGAATATTCCTCTATAGTCAACTATAGCCTGGCATTGTATTGAGTATCTTTTTTTACGATTAAAAAAAACTTCTGGGTCTTTAGAAGGAGCATTTGTTAAATTGATGTGTGTTCCATCAATTGCTCCTATTACATTTGGAAACCCACCAATTTGTTGAAACCCACCTAATATCTCATGTCTATATTGTTCAACTGGCCATTTGACATAATTATTTTTTGTCACTAAAATAGCCTTTATTATACGATTTGTATATAGAATAACAGTTCCTTCTGAGATTCCAAACAAACTAGATGTGGTAAAAATATCTCCTTTAATGGCTAGTCTTCTAAGAAACACAGTTGCTTGAAAATTAACATCTATTTGTTTAATAAAGGCATTTGTATGAAATATTGGATTAATCTTTAAAATATTACTAATCTATTAAAATTAGATTTGGACATCCGAAAAAAAATTTTAAATCTTTCTTCATTATACTGAAGATAAACATTATGAAACTTGTCTAAAGAAATTTGATTAGTGTGGATCCTTGGTTCAAGGTAACGAAAATTTAATAGTGAAACCAAAAAACATTTTAAGTTTTCATTCCTATCTTCAAAATATTCTAATTTGTTTTCATCAAAACTTCATCAAATTCATCCAATTCAGTTATTTTTTGGAATAGATTTAGAAACAATGCCTCTTCAATTCTTTCACGAGTTGACATCTAAAAAAACGCGTAAATTTTATTGTGTATGTCAGTCCCAAATATAGAAGTTATGGAAACAACTAGGAAATTTCTGCTCAAAGTTGATTCTTATTTCCATTACCTAATAAGGTATTGTACAACAAGGAACAGGAACAACTTTGAACACCCCTAGTAAATTCAGTAAACTTGTGCAACTTTGAAGCTCAAATTCTCCACAACAACATGACATATCAATGAGATGAAATTGTGGTTTTGTAGAGGAAGGTCTTGGATTCAAATACACAATTTATTTTGAGGTGTTGCATTTCCATTTTTGGAGAATTTGAAAATCTACACAATCAATAAAAAGTTGTGGGACTAAGTGACTTGCATCATATGTATGATTTGCATTTTCATACATGCAGAAAAAAATCATACATACATACATTTTTATTATATTATTATATTAATTTAATAAAAATGTATGTATGTATGATCTGCATTTTCATACATGTATGGAAATAAAAATCATACGTTACATACATAAGGGTTCATACATTACATGTTTTCGTAACACCGGGTTTCTCACCAGGCCATTTTGACAATTTGACTAAAGTAAAACTCTTGATGTAATTAAAAACCTTTGACATAATTAAAACACTTGACATAAGTAAAAACACTTGATACAAACAGCAATAATGATAATGATAAAATAGGATTATCAAAAGTTCCAAATTATGTAAAAATATGTATCCTGGTGACCTTTTTCTAGATAGGTTTCTGTTAGTTGTCTGCTGGCAACTAACCACTATTATGTTATCCTGTTACAAAATTAAGAAAATAAACAAAGAATGAAATAAAGAATATATATAACTATGCTACCTGTCAAGAAACATAGTAAAATTAAAAGGTTCCTAACTAATAATTAAAGTTTGGCCAGAATTATGAATCAATCACATTAACTAATCATAAAATTCTGAGATCATCAGATCAAAAAAATATTATCATCATAATAATAATCATTTTAATATCAAGACAAGAATGGATGAATTCTTCTTGTTATTATCTGAAACAATTCTGAAGCATAAGAAAGAAAATGAAACATATGTTTTCGAAATAGTTATCTCTTTGATCATTAAAATAAAAAATATAAAAAATTTTTTTAGCATCATTGTTATCAATGAATCAGGTAATGTCAGAGCTGCAAGAAAAGGTATAACTGTTAAATATTCTCATATTTTTAATATCAGATGCATTGCACACATTGATCAGTTTACTTACTAAGGATATAGCTGATAGTTTAAAAGCAATTGATGGTAGTAATATCATAAAGATTCACATCTACTAGATGATTATGATGGCTTAAGATAACATCACAAAAAGGTCAATGTTACTTTCAACGATTCTTAACATTGAGATATTAGTGCACCTGCAGTGTACACTATGCACATTTGTCAGCTAAAAAAACGGTGTTGAAGAGAGCTCACAAAATTTATGTAAAGCAATGATGACAACAATGATTGTTTTGCTAAAAATGACTATTGAAAGTTTAGTAGACATCCTTATACAAAATAGACAAATGACAAAGCAAAACATACTTAAGATAACTGTTGTTTGAGTCATTTCTTCAAGAGACAGCAAGCAATAATGTAGATAAGATAGTAAATACTTTAAAAACATTATATGTATAGTTGTACAATTATCAAATGAGTTTAAATAGTTGCTTATATTATGGATAAAGTTTCATCAAATGATATTATTTAGGATCCTGTCTTAAGTGGTGGAACAATTTAAACCATGATGCAAAAAATTATAGAGAGCACCAGCATCATTTAAAGAGGTTATGTAATGCCAGAAAAGCTTATGGAATCCTTAGTGTAGCAGAGTCATATACAAAAACTAATTTAGACATTGATAATAAGGCTTTTTAAACCTTAATTCGACAGGGCAAATAACAAATCCACATTTAATATTTTGTTTTAAAAACAATAAACCAAAATTATTTATTATTAATAAAAAATTAATTTATAGAAAAATAATAAGATAATAACCATAACTTGATAATTTTTATCAAAATTAATGATTTCTTTTCCAACTTTATTAATTTGAATTATTAGGTACATATATTAATTTGATACCCATTCATCCCATTCAGCTAAAGTCTTATCACTAATATAATCATACCTGCAAATAAACCCCTCTTGCCCAGCTGCAATTATTTGTCTACAAATTGATTTAGTATAAATAAAAATAAAAATAAAAATTAAGCAACCCAAATTAATAATTAATTAAGTTGCTTACTTATAGTCTCTTGTGAATAAACAACATTTCACAGCTTTTGTAGATCTTCTATGGCTTAATTCTGTTACCAGTTTACCTTTTGTAATATTATAAATAAATACACTACCATAACTTGTGCCAACACACATATACTTCCCATCCAAACTATTAAATTAGCAATCAAATTAACTTAGTCATCTGTCCACATAAATATTAATACTATAATGGGGTTATGACATAATTTTATTACCTGACATCAAATCTGCATCTATTAAAACAATTATCTTTAATGTTAAAAGTTTTTATAATTTTAAATGTCTCATAATCCCAATGCTCTATTTTATTGTCTATTGATTTAGATATAACACTATCATTTACAAATTTTATTTCATCTAAATAAATAATATTAATAATATTAATAATATTAATAATATTAACATATATGCATCAAAGTAATTATGTAGATATAAAAAATACCTATTTGAGTTGAATGAATTTTTTTAAATTTTGTATAAATGTTTTTTTTAGATAAATGTATAGGTTTGTTTGATGTTTCTGTCAGATTTGGTGTATACCATATTCTAATTTCACCTTGATTATTTCCTGTCAAAAAAGTTTGGCCTGTAGGATGCCAACACTTGTAGGTAGATATAGATAAATAGATAGATATATTATTTATATTATATGTATTGATGTACTTATAAATTTTTAATAAATAACACTTACTATGATAAATGCATTTATCTCAATAATGTACAAACATGTTCCATTATCAACATGCCATATTCGAACAGTATTATCCCTCGAGGCAGACATTAAATGCTGATCATCATTTGGATATTTTCGAAGATCAGTAATTGTTCCTGTATATGAATATATAATAAACCAATGTTAATACATAAGTCTATTCTATCCAGGTACTTGATTTTTCTCGGAATTTTTTAAAAAAGTAATGCCATGTTTTTTCGTTTAAAACTACCCTACCTGTATGTCCATTTAATGTTTTAAAAGTAAGAGAAAATGCCAGGCTGATTAAATATATTTTACCAAGTGTGCCTGCTACCGCTAAGATTGCATCATCTTTTCTGTGTAGCCAACAACAAGTTAATAACTCCTAATATATATTATAAGTGTATATTAGTTATTATATTTTGCAACCACTTTTTTTTCATTAAAAAAAAACCTAAAATGAATAACATACATTTGTTTCTAGATCTATATGTTCCCCCGCTACAAAATTTGACATTATATCTAAATGATCACCGCAATGCTCATTGTCATATATACTTGCCTATTCAAAATAAATGAATAAATTTATTTATATGTTGTATTCAATATATACAGAAAATGAAGAATTTTACCTGAATGTCTGCAACTGTGGCCAAAATATTACTAGTATCTTTTACATCCCTTATAACGTATCCAAGTTTGTTATATTTTTTTATATACTCGGGACCAATTGGTGCCTCATAATTGTTCAAATTAAAGAAAAGCGATATTTGATTTATGTTTTTCCCATGATTTTCTTTCACAATTCTACGTAAACGAAAATTATAAAACATTTGATCACTGCTATCAGTATTCATGTTAACTATTTTTTGGACGTGTTTGACCACCAATATGATTGCGTCACACACAAGTTTAAAAAAGATCGTCTATACACCATAAATAGAAAATCCAAGGAAAATAATAATTAATTTTTTATTAAACAAGAAAATTCTTATTTTACAAATTAACAAGAAAATTTCATTTATAGAAGCGTCACGAAAATAGCAATCTCTCATCTTCCCTCAATCAACATTTGAATGACTGATAAGGGAGATATAAGTCTTAGAATACAGTTAGGTGATGTGATGAATAAAATTCAAGAGGTAAATCTTTTCTTTTTTAATTAAAGGATTAAATAATTCCTTACATTGGTAAATACTAATGTCCATTCTTAGATTTTAATAAATCAGTTTGTAGAAACTTGACTAAGATTTCTGTTATGAGATGCATATGTATAAAGATTAATATTAAAAAAATTAGCAATTAAAAAAAAATCTTTTATTAATCATCATTTTCTTTTGACCAATTGTTATTTCAGTGGATTAAGTGCCAGACATGCTGGAAAAGACATTATGTCAAAGACTTAACCACTACTTTTTCACATGACTCTTGGTGATAGATTTCCTTTCAACATAAGTGAAAGTCATTTCAAGTATATACAGCAACATTTTCAAACTTTGCAAACCATTTTGTCAAAGGAATAATAGAAATATTTACTAATTAAAACATCCTTCTGCTTACAATTTCTTTATAACAACAACTTTTAGCAATAAAATAATTGTCAACTTTTAATTATTGTATTTAAAAGAAATTGCTAATTTATTTATGTAATATTAACCTTATTTGAATTTTTGAACATGATTAGTATAATTACAATTTTCTTGTAACAAAGGTTGATTGTATTTATATCTTGAATGAAAGCAGATAGTTTATTCCTTATGATAGGTCAACAGAAACATAAATTTTACAACAATATTCACTTACCAATTAAATGCAAGATTCTACAGATTTATTTGGTAACAAAAATCAAATTGATAATAACAACCACCAGAATAAATCCATTGGATGTAGAAGAAGACATGAAGAAACTTATGATGGTAATAAAATAATGAACATCAAAGAAAAAGATATAGAACAAACAATAGACTTCAAAGATCACCAGAATGAGCATAAATCCATTGGACATAAAAGAAGACATGAAGTAACTAATAAAATAAATGAACATTGGAAAAAAGACATAGAACAAACTTCAAAGCAGTGAAAAAAATTGGGATAGGTATATATTCAGGCAACCCTTTGTCATTTTAGACCTATGTGGCACATATTTATATGTGTATATATATGTTACTTTGCATTTTACATATATATCTCAAATTTTATTTTTTGATAAAATGTTAAACTTACCAATCCAGGCCACCATATAATCTACTATGCTACCTACTTCAAATGCCATTATTAATATTAAAACTAAAGTAAAGTTCTGAAGCTAGTGTGAGTGTGCAATCTGAGTTACTTACTTACCAGGTAATTCTTATGTTTGGCACACAGCTGGTCTTACCTTGTCCCCAAATTAAAGCCCATAATTATACCTACTGACCCTAAGTCCAAATATCAATACACATCTGGTTTAGAAAGCTATAGAGGTAGTCACCATATAGAAGGTTTTGGGTTAATATTTTATATATAAAATTATCTATGCTGATTGATTTTCTAAATAAAACTACTCTTTTAACATACACCATGACATAAGTGTACTTGTTTATGAACTATGTGAACTTCCATATTGAAAGGGTTTACTGCTTTGTTGAAAATGAGTCATAATGAAATAACACCACATAAAATAATACATTTTTTTGTTTTAATATGTCTGAATTTGTGATGTGGTTGTCATTTTGAAAATAAGAAATTTACTATGTTATCTTAGTCCTGCCGATCTTATATGTATCTATTACTATATAAATTCATTTTGTTGCACATTTTGCACATTTTTATTAAAAGTTATCTTGATAAAAAACTAATTGATTTTTTTTAATAATATCTATATTTTTTCAATATCTTAACTAAATTTTGAAATGTGACTCGAAATAAATGTTTGTTTCTTTACTATTGATTAAATTATGTTGAAACTATAAATCTTGAAATAGTTTTTGTAGAGTGACAATCAAAACAATTAAATCCAATTGCCTAGTCTCAGTTATGAATAAAATGTTACCTTTCAAATGATTTATTGGTGATCTTGTTAATAATTCCAATTCATTATCACAAAAAATATCTGTTTTTAATTTAATCATCTCATCTTGTAAAACTATCACTTCTAAAGAAGAAGATTCATTAATACTTATACCCTTTTTTGTTAGTATATATGGTTTCTGACTAGTATCAAGTTTGTGATTTTAATATTATCCCATCGAAGTGTGACATTTTCTAGAGAGAGAATCGCCTATATTAAGTTCAAAACATACATCACCCTTCTTCAGCTTTTCTTTTATATAGTAGCTTTGTTTATCATTCTAAAACGTCCAGTTTCAATTTCTTTACAAAGTACACATTGTTTATTTTGAAATTACTATTTTCACTATTATAAGTAGAAGTCAAGGGAGGAATAATCCGGTATGTACCACCCTTTTGGTATGGTACTCACCTGCCAGCGGAATAATAATAAGTTGATCATTCAATAAGTCAGCCAAAATTTTCATCACATGATCGATCTACGAGTGTTTTACATGTGTTTTTCAATCGAATTTTTAATTCACAATCACGTGATAAGTTCCATAATTTGCCAAAAATAGATTTTTATTATATGTATAAATTCATTTATTTGCATATATTAATATATTAATATACAAAAAAAAATCTAAAAAAAAGCGAGATATATGATTGGAATGGAGTTTTCCCGGCCCTCTAACCAATAAATCAGTTGTATTTTTTATTAATGTTATCGAAATTGGCCACGTGGCACCGGAACTTTAGCAGTTTTTGGAACAAACAAAGAAAATCTATACTGGAATTGTAAATTTCTTTATCATTATATTCACATTCATATAGAAATATAAATATGTGTAAAATATAATCCAAATGAAGTAAATAAATAATAATAATAATAATAATTATTATTTTTTCTTCATATAATTTTACAATAATAACTACTTTCTTTTCCACAAATTTAAACTTGCAAGTTTGTGGTGTAAAAAGGTTTGAAATTGATTAATTATTCATTAGTTTATTAACAATCGTTTTTCCACATGTGTAATCTTTTTGTTTCTCTTAATATGTTATATTCAGTTATTTAATTAAACATATAGATAAGTAGAAATGTGGCCTCCAATTGACAAGTTACCTGAGGTCCAATCCTTTATAGGTGTAATTTTTGCTGTCACTGGAAACGTAAGCTTAATAAGATATTTTATTTATTCTATTATTATCTATATTCAACAAAACAATTTTAATAGAATTTTTTATTAATTATATAACTTAGATTTTGATATCTATTGCATTAAATTTACAAAAACACGCACACAATGAACTTCAGAGAATTAGTTGTGATTCGGTAGCATTTAGTGATACTCGTAGCGGATCTAATCCACAACGTCCCACCTCTTTATACGATTCCGATCTACCGACGCATATTCTACGATCAAGTGAAAGTGATGATAGTTATGTAATGTTGACTGAATTCGATGATTGTGATAACAAATCTCATTATCTTTTTTCCAAAGCTTGGTGGGCCGGAATATTACTGATGGTTATAGGTAGATTTTTTTATTTTGATAATATATAGATTGCGTGTGAATGGATGGATACGTGTGGGTGGATATGCAGAATGATAATGTGGTTATATATATTTGAGTATATACACACGCGCATGTACACTTATACATATATATTATTAATTTTAGGCGAATCAGGAAATTTTATAGCTTATGGATTTGCACCTGCATCGGTGGTTGCACCATTGGGAACTGTTGCTCTAATTTCCAATGTAATATTGGCTCCTATAATGTTGAAGGAAAGGTTTCGCACCCAAGATTTATTCGGAGTTGTTGTTGCCATAATCGGTGCTATTATTGTAGTGCTTAATTCTAAATCTGAAGAAGTAAAAGTAAATATAAAGACAATTTTTTATTTTTACATATTTTATTTATATATATAAATATATTAACACACTCCCATGTATCTATTTAATGTATCATCGTTGTAGCTTTCACCAGAAGCAATATGCGAAGCAATATTGCAAGTGAAATTTCGTATTTATCTAATTGTTACCGTTATTTTGACCAGTTGTCTTCTGATTGCATCGATTAGATATGGTCACAGATTAATTTTCATAGATTTATCATTAGTTGCAATATTTGGTAAGATAAATTACATTTATTATTATTATAGTAATTATTATTATTATTATTATTATATTTGTTAAATTGTAAATTTATGAGCTAAGATTATTAACTAATAATATTATTAATAATACTGTTAGGTGGTTACACTGTATTGGCAACTAAATCGATTTCTTCATTATTAACGCTGACATTTATCTCAATGTTTACATACCCAATAACCTACTTATTGTTTTTTGTATTGTTAAGTACGGCTGTACTTCAGATTAAATATCTTAACAAATCATTAAGCCAATTTGATTCAACGGTAATTTTTTGGTCAATTGTAGTAATTGTTTATGATATCGTTTATATTTTATTCCAACCCATAAATAATTTAATGATATTTAGGAAGTAATTCCAACACAATTTGTTCTCTTCACAATATCAGCAATTATTGGCAGCGCTGTTTTATATAATGATTTTGCTGATATGGATTTTTGGAGATGTACTGGTTTCTTGGTTGGATGTTTGTTAACATTTTTGGGGGTTTTTTTTATAACCTCAAATAGAAACAAAACTCGTGGCTACACTCTGATTTCAACGAATCCAACCCAGACACCAAATCCAATCTCTGCAATTACAGATGATGATGGCGTATATAATTCACCTATTGACTTTGATGGACACTTTTCATTCAATACCCATCGACCAATTTCCAGCTCTACACCTCGTAGACATACACTAAACGAATCTATAGATATTGCCACCCCGCTTTTACATGGTGAGTTATATCCGGCAAATTATTCTCACTCAAGAAGCGATAGTATTTTCAAATCGTTGGTTGATGTGTCTGCCACAACGATCACTGGGGTTGGTCAAGCGTTAAATTCTGTTGGTGCTCGCCACTCACATGCCTTGGGATTAGGTAAATTGAATAAATTTTATATACTGTTATTTTGTAATTAATTTATACTCATTTCTTTTTTTTTCTTTTTTCATTTTCTTCCCAACTTCTCATCCTATTTCCTTTTTTTTATTGGAAAAAAAGAATTATTTTAAACTAATTATTATTTATTTATTTTTCTTTTATATTTTTTTTGGGGGGTGTGATAAATTGTTAATAATTTTAATAACCATACATATATACCTAATATACACAATATACATAATATATACAATAACATAATAACATACATATAATAAAATCAATAGACCAAGTAATCGAGAATTATTTTTTAAAAATGAGAGAAGAAGATAGATTAAATAATAATGATCCCAGTAATAATGATTCTAGCAATAATAATAATAATAATAATAATAATAATAATAATAATAATAATAATAATAATAATAATAATAATAATAATAATAACGATGATAATAATAATAATAATAACGATGATAATAATCATCGTCGTAGTTACTCTGTTCCTGCAGCAATTAGAAATTTTGTTTATCCAAATAATAATTTTAATCATTTCAGAAATTTACATAATAATAATAATAGAAATAATAGTTTTAATTTTTACAGAAATTTTAACTATTTAAATAATAATAATAATAATAATAATCATGACGACAACAACAACAACAACAACAACAACAACAACAACAACAGGCATAATAATTATAATAGCATATCAAATAATACTAATAATACTAATAATATTAATGTTAATACTAATGGCACCAATAATCGTTTTTATAATAATAATAATGTTAATGCTAATGTTAATGGTAATGAACAATCGAAATCACTAACAGATTCATCGTACCTTGGCACATCATTTACTAATTCTGAATATTATAATTCTGGATATAATACTGAATCAATACAAGAAGATTATGAGAGCGATGATGTTGATGATACAAGAACAATTAGCGGTTTAACAATTTCAACTGATAATAGCGGTAATTTAAGTAGTGGATTATATTCTGGTGAAGAATATGATGATGATAATGAGAGCGGTTCTTATGATGTATTTTCTAATTATGGTGCCGATGATATGGATGGTGATTTACCAGATTTGCCTTCTAGGAATGAACATAATATAAATAATGGTGAAACTACCCCCAAAAATGTTAACAAACATCCAACCAAGAAACCAGTACATCTCCAAAAATCCATATCAGCAAAATCATTATATAAAACAGCGCTGCCAATAATTGCTGATATTGTGAAGAGAACAAATTGTGTTGGAATTACTTCCTAAATATCATTAAATTATTTATGGGTTGGAATAAAATATAAACGATATCATAAACAATTACTACAATTGACCAAAAAATTACCGTTGAATCAAATTGGCTTAATGATTTGTTAAGATATTTAATCTGAAGTACAGCCGTACTTAACAATACAAAAAACAATAAGTAGGTTATTGGGTATGTAAACATTGAGATAAATGTCAGCGTTAATAATGAAGAAATCGATTTAGTTGCCAATACAGTGTAACCACCTAACAGTATTATTAATAATATTATTAGTTAATAATCTTAGCTCATAAATTTACAATTTAACAAATATAATAATAATAATAATAATAATTACTATAATAATAATAAATGTAATTTATCTTACCAAATATTGCAACTAATGATAAATCTATGAAAATTAATCTGTGACCATATCTAATCGATGCAATCAGAAGACAACTGGTCAAAATAACGGTAACAATTAGATAAATACGAAATTTCACTTGCAATATTGCTTCGCATATTGCTTCTGGTGAAAGCTACAACGATGATACATTAAATAGATACATGGGAGTGTGTTAATATATTTATATATATAAATAAAATATGTAAAAATAAAAAATTGTCTTTATATTTACTTTTACTTCTTCAGATTTAGAATTAAGCACTACAATAATAGCACCGATTATGGCAACAACAACAGGCATAATAATTATAATAGCATATCAAATAATACTAATAATACTAATAATATTAATGTTAATACTAATGGCACCAATAATCGTTTTTATAATAATAATAATGTTAATGCTAATGTTAATGGTAATGAACAATCGAAATCACTAACAGATTCATCGTACCTTGGCACATCATTTACTAATTCTGAATATTATAATTCTGGATATAATACTGAATCAATACAAGAAGATTATGAGAGCGATGATGTTGATGATACAAGAACAATTAGCGGTTTAACAATTTCAACTGATAATAGCGGTAATTTAAGTAGTGGATTATATTCTGGTGAAGAATATGATGATGATAATGAGAGCGGTTCTTATGATGTATTTTCTAATTATGGTGCCGATGATATGGATGGTGATTTACCAGATTTGCCTTCTAGGAATGAACATAATATAAATAATGGTGAAACTATATATTTATTTATATTTTAGCAAAAATTTGAAAAACACAATAATGAACGAATGACAAGGTAAATTTAGTAAATAAATAGAATAAATAACAAAATGATATTATTGAGAAAATGGTTCGAGATAGGTCTTCAATTTATTCAATGAGTCACTAATTGAAAAAAAGTTTTAAAAGTTAAATATTAACACCAACCAACGTCAATCAATCAATACCAATAACCAAAATTTTACCTAGCAAAATAAGCCCCCACTACAATAAAAATCATCATAATCACTAATAAAATATTAGCCCGTCTCGAAGCCAGGTCTTTGCATCGATCCAATTCTCTCAAAGACTCTTTTAATTTCTTTATTTCGTCCACATATTTGTAATATTGAATATGATTATTATTCTCGACCTCTCTTAATTTACTTTCAAATTCTTTTACCATTCTCATCAATCGGTTACGTTCATCTTCACTCAAATAAAATCTCTTCTCGTAATTGCATTTTTCCTCGATCAATTCACGAATTTCTCCCTCGTTTTCAATTTTTAGAGTTTTCAATTCCTCGACAGCGACCTCTTTCTTGTGGCATTTCTCTTTTAATGTTGAAATTTCATCTTTTAAATGCTTGACAAATACATTTTCGGTTATTATTTTTGTTGATTTCTCATTGAAATTGGTTGTCAATTCTTTTAAAATTTGAATCAATTCTCGAACATCTTCGGTTTGTTTTTCTTTGATCAATTCTTGTGCCAATTGTTGTTGTGCTGGTGCTTGTTTATTACTAGTGCTGCTATTGCTACCACTTCCTCCTCCACTGCTACTAATGCTGCTTCTACTACCACCGCTACTGCCATTACTAGCATCACTGCTACCAACATCAACAATGTATCTCTCTAATTTATGAATTCTTTTATCAAATTTATTTTCTTTGCTTTTCACTTCTTCACCAAGATATTCGAAATCATAATCTAATTTTGTGATTTTAT